GAAAGATGATAGGAAAAGTGTACTCCCTACACCTCAGGTGTTATTTTGTGATGGTTTTATGGAAACTGCAGGAGAGATTCCTTTCATACCAACATAATATGTGCTGCCTTGCAGGTACAGCCAGGTAGCACCAAATGTTCCAACTGCTTGGAATAAAGGGGAAACCCTCCTGTGTTCACCTAAATAATCCACACTGCCTAAGTTTTTGAGTGAAAGGTTCTAGAAGGGTAGTTATGAATGTTTCCACAAATTAGTCCTCAGGTACTACTGTTCTTTGTAAACTGAGCAAGGACTTTGAATTCTTCCTATGTGAAGATGGCTATAACATCCTATGTCAACTTGGTACAGTTAAAATATTTTGGTAGGCCTCCCAACCCCTCAAACTTAAAGAATTCCAACCATGCTTTGCTAAGTCAGTGTATTAAATCCTAAAGCTGCATGATACTGGCTATTTTGCTTTATAGAATGCAGGCATTCTCAAGTGCAGGTTCATCCTGTCCCATTTCTGCAATTTATGATATCATGTAGATGTCTACATCTACATGAAAATTCATACACCTAATATGGTTTGCTAATTTTCCTTAATATAGGAATATAGACATAATATATGTATGTTTCTATGACTTCAAAGAGAATTCACCAAATGGCATCAAAAAAGATGATTGTGATCCAGTATGAAAAGGCATTTTTAAATTAGTTTGGCAGATAACTTTCCTGAGCTTCTTGAATTCCATTACTTTTGACAGGCTATTTTCACTTATCTCCTCCAGAAGCCCTGGTCCATTCCAACAGCAAGTTCCCTCAGCAGGACTGTCCTTCAGTCCTGCTAGGTCTTCAGCTGAAGATTCCTTGTTGCACATAGTATCTCCAGGCCTTGCCACAGCAAAACAGCTCCAGACACATCCAACAATATCCTCCTCCACCTCTGCCTTTCATATGTATAACTCAGATATGCCTGCATTCAGCTGCTTTCCTTAGGCACAAACTTTCCTAGTATCTACATGACACTGAGCCTGGTTGTGACACACAGAAACAAATCTTTAACCTTGAGACCAGCTTACTCTTCCATAGGATCCATGTAGATAGGAATGCAACATATAGGCAGTGCCCTTTTAGAAGCTTCTTAGCAACATCACTTGGTACATCATTAGGTCCCTTGTGACCTTTGATCAGCTTTTCTGGTTTTCCAGGGTTGTCTGCAGTGCATCCTTCCTAAAATTAGGCATGTATGCTCAAGTGGGGTCTCTTTATGCTACTTGCCTCTATTTACCATAAAAAGTGTATGAATAGGCTATGTTTCTTGAAATTGCTAGTTTGATACTGCACATAGATGTGGGAATTTGAAGAGTGGTGTTGGCACTCAGGACTGAGCATCTGAATGAATCCTGCTCCTCCACCACTGAGATATCTGTTGTAATTTACCAATGGTCAAAGTAGCTACTTCATATTGAGTGCCTTGTTCAGCCTATGATTTATTGGTGTATTCTCCAGTTTCTATCAGGCCAAGGAAACATTTAAAAAGGAACTGAAGATTGAAGGATTTCTGTACAGTGACTTATCCATACTAGCTTCTGATATCCCATATTTTCCACCAGAGGAAGAGGAAGAAAATTTGGAAGATGGGATTCACCTAGTGATCTGTGTCCATGGACTAGATGGTAAGACCAAGAAAGGCAGAGATAGATGATAGATATTGATTGATTGATTGATTGATAGATGATAGACAGATAGATAGATAGATAGATAGATAGATAGATAGATAGATAGATAGATAGATGCTGATACTGCTCCTGCAGGCTGTGAGTAGTGCATAATCATCAAGGAAAAATGTTAAAAATGACAACAACAACAACAACAACAGAATTCCAACCACAGAAACTCTTAGACAATAATTGTGTCATCTATCAGAGGATTCAAAGTATTTTTTTTTAACAATTATATGATTGAGGGTAAAATGCTGCACAATTACCCTGAACAAGTACACAAATATAATGCTCAAGGAGTTCATAATCATCCAGGTCTTTCTAGAAGCAAATAAATGCTTCCCTGTTTATAGTTGCAGACTAGATAGATAGATAGATAGATAGATAGATAGATAGATAGATAGATAGATAGATAGATAGATAGGACCTTCTTTCTATATTATGTTAATGGTACCTCCAAGTTTGATAGAAATTCCATCAATAATATTTTAAAGATTAGAGCTAGTGATAAAGGATCAGTGAAAATGTACATGCCACATTGTTAGGTATTGCATAAGCCTTCCAGAAAGTAGAGGTGTTTGTTGCTCATTGAAGAGATGTAGTTCTTTTTTGTGCCCCCAAAGACCCATCATTTCTATTGGGGCACACCAACCATGCTGGTCCTTTATAGGCGAGCTGACCCCCATGATATTTGGGCATGCCTGCAACATTTCACACATCCTCCCAAAGTTGGGAATCCCATTCCTTTCATGGGGTGGGGGGGGGTGCCTTTGAGTCAGTTTTTGACTCCTGGTGACTGCCTGGGCAAGTCCCTGCAGTTTTCTTGGCAAGATTATTTTTAGAAGCGGTTTGGCCTTGCCTTCTTCTTCCTAGGGCTGAGAGAGGGGGACTGGCCCAAGGTCACTCAGCTGGCTTTGTGCCTAAGGCAGGACTAGAACTCCCGGGTCCTGGCTTCTAGCCTGATGCCTTCACCACCACACCAACCTGGTTCTTCATCCCTTTCATACCTATGAACTATTAGATATCAACAGAGCAACCAATGCATTCTGTATGTAAAAAGGGACAGCAAAATAGCTGAACCCATCTGGACTATAAAGAGGGGCATATGGGTGTATTCAAAGGATTCCTGGATTACAATCTTCAGTATGAGATATTTTGTTTTCCAGGTAACAGTGCAGATCTTCGGCTGGTAAAAACCTTCATCGAACTGGGTCTCCCTGGGGGAAAACTTGACTTCCTAATGTCAGAAAGGAACCAGGTATTTGACTAATTCTTTACTGGTTGACTTTAAACTTTGGTATCTCATTTCCATCTCATAAAGAAGGGCTTTGTACAGGTGCAACGTGAAATTGAATGGGCATTGTCACAAAGGTCACAAATTACTTCTGCAAAAATATTTTATGCCATTAGTTTCTATTATGAAAGATTTACGTTTTGTTATTCCTTCATTTCTGTTGGACTATTTTGGGGGCATCTTCATTAGATCTGCATTAATATCATTACTTTCATTTCATACATATTTTCCCCCTCCTATTTCTTTGATTAAGTGCTTTTTTATTGCTTTCTGTTATCTTGGTGGTAGCAATAGAACTGATTTCATGAGCTATTCTTAGTGATCAGCACTGTATTTTCCCAGAATATTCCAGTTCTTTGATAAAATTCTGCAGAGCAAGATCCTGGCTTCACTGCTGTTTGCCACTGATTTTCAAAATATTCCAGAATTATGCAACCAAAATCAACTCTATTTTTTTCCTCTCCGAAAAGTAAAAGTAAAAAACAAAACAAGACATAATCTTATTCTCTGTACAGGTAGCAAGATGATCTATGAAAACTTGCCTATTCATATCTATTTGTAACTCATGATATTTGTATTATAATTCATGAAACCTGATCTCTGATCCCATCAACCTCTCATTAACTCCCCAAGGGTTTATAATATGTATCTCAAAAGACAGATGATCTACTCACAATGCTTTACATCAATGTATTTTTTATTAAATACATGCCAGTTTTTCTTCTCATGGAAAACCCAAAATAACTTAACGTGAAAAAAGACAGTACAATTAAAATGCAAAGTACAAGAGATTAGAAACGCAAACATATATACACACAGGAAAATATCTTCTGAATATTGCTGGAGTAGCTGCGAATGCTGCTACTTAGAAAATTCCTATCACATATGACTCAGTGGAAAGCATTCTCATCTATACCATTTTCTAAAGGAAGCCAGCAAACTCTTACTACAAATAACTTTGCTTTATGATCCATACATCTGTATGCTGCTTACTCCATAGATTCTAGAGGACTTGCAACCATGAAAACAGGAATAGACTAGTACAAACAACACATCATTGATCCCTCATAAACGTAAATGGTGTTCTCACCAAAGGCTCTACGGAGGAGAACACAGTTTTAACTGATTCTTGAATGTTACCAAGTTGGAGGCCACCTTGACCTTGGGGGAACAAGCTGTTCCAAAGAGAGAGAACTGCAACTAAGAAAGTGTTCCTCCAGGTCTCTATTCCCTAAACCTCCAGGGAGTAGGAACCCATAACATCATCTCCTCGGCGAACATGTATTGGGCAGGCTGATGGCTGTGAAAAGTACAATAAGAAATATATCCTCCTCAAAATGTAAAGGCCAGAAGCAATAGATACACAAAAGTTCCTAAGATAGAAAAGCAGGATGGAGTAAGTTGAAACAGCAAGCAAACTTAGATTCTCTTTCACCCCTCCCACCCAGACTGTTCTGGGGATAAATTATAGCCCTCCTGTGATCTACTGGCATGAGGAGTAGAAGGTTATATCCTACCAGATGTCATCAGGAGAAACTATTCCATAGAACTGAATAGGCAGTATAAAGTTTTGTGGGAGAAAGGAAGCACCAGATGGGTGAGTGTTTAACACTGGAGAAAGACTGCAATCTCCATTTGAATTCTTTCTCCTACAGACTCACCAGAAGTAATGAAAATCAATGGGAAATTCAGAACTGTCTTTTAGGCATATGTGATCCTGCATAATTTTATGCTAACTTCTGCTAACACCTGATATTAACATCTGTAAAGGTCATCCTGTGGATTTTTAAAGCAAATCAAGGTGCTTTGTTTTGTAGTAGATTTTATACTTTTTCAGCAAAGTTGAGACAAGGAATCAGCTGTGGGCCGATCAACTGATATGGTAGATCGGTTATGTCCATGTGTGGGTGAAAGAGAGAGGGAGAAACTAGATTTGAGTATTTGAGAAGGTTAATCTGATAATATAAGAATTCTGATGAGACCAAAGGATTTCACTTTCTCAAATAGCAATCCAAAGCCACTCACCAAAGTATTGATCCTCACATGGGGATCAATAACTTTTTCCTCATGTGCTGCCCTCTGGCTTCTGAAAACGAAAATCCCACAAATCTTGTCTGTGTTTTCTGTGATGAGGTAGATTTTTTCATTTCAAAATAACGTGGAAAATTGAAGAGGGCCAGTCTCAGAGGAAATCATTAATTATCAGTGCAAGCAAAGCAAACAGGAATCTTGTTTTAGTTTAAGATCATTCATGGAAGGCCATGCTGGAAATTGGATCTGCTGTTTCTCCCGCTTGTTGAAAGAGTTGCAATTAGCAAGATGGATTTTCTTGCAAAACAGTGTTAATTACTAGATCAGTTTCCCTAGAATTTCCACCTACGCATTTGATGATTATCCCCTAGCATTTTATTAGTTTTGAACGTGATGCACTGCCTATGAGATGACAAAACAACACAATTCCAAAGAATCATTTTGCGTACAGTCTGCTATAATTTCAATTCTTCTATTATTGCCTCCCCCCCCCCCATAAGCATCTATATCATGCTGAGTTCCATGAACAATTTGCTGGCCCTTAATGAATATGATCTAACTCTGAAGCATGATATTCAATTTTTTTATGCATTTCCAAGAAGGTATGCAGCATTAGTAGGTCACTCATCCCTTGCTCACTTCCCAGTTGGAGCATTGCAATGTGCGCTACATGGGGCTGCCCTTGAAGATCACCCGGAAGTTAGAACTGGTCCAAAATGTGGCACCCAGCACTGTACTCAGCCCCTCAGTTTGCTTATGTTGAATCCCTGCTGCGTGAGCTGCAGTGGCTCCCAGTATCTTTCTGGGTGCAATTCAGGTGCTGGTTATTACTCTTAAAGTCCTACATGACATGGGGCCAGCTTATTTGCAGGACCATATCTCCTTGAGGGATGTGCTCCCTACACTAGGGTAGACAGAGTGAGTACAGTCCAGGCTCTGTCCCTTAAGTGTTGCCATCTAATGGGACCCAGGAAGTCTGTCTTCTCTTTTCTCTTCCCCCTGGGATCAGGAAGACACCC